CAAATTAACAAATTTGGATTCAGGGGCCATGATTTCACTTTTTACGCACTTTTGGCCTGGATGGTTGAGTCTTCATTGATCACGTCAGAACTCATTTTCACAGCCCACTCATCACCCTCTACCCAGTTCTTCACTCTTTAGTAATAGCAATAGCACTTAGACTTACATACCGCTTCATAGTGCTTTACAGCCCTCTCTAAGGGGTTTATAGAGTCAGCATATTTTCGCCCAACAATCTGGGTCCCCATTTTACCCACTGCAGAAGGATGGAAGGCTGAGTCCACCTTGAGCTGCTGAGAATTGAACTGCTGGCAGTTGGCAGAATTAGCCTGCAATACTGCATTCTAACCACTGTGCCATCACATCTCTTATAAGAGCAAGGAACGGTCAGATACACCTTTATCAGTGTCATCGTAGCAATAGCACTTAGATTTATATACCGCTTCACAATGCTTTTATAGCCCTCTCTAAGCGGTTTACAGAGTCAGCATATTTGCCCCCCACAATTTGGGTCCTCCTTTTACCCATCTCGGAAGGACGGAAGGCTGAGTCAACCGTGAGCCAATCAGAATCAAACTCCTGGCAATTGGCAGAATTAGCCTGCAATACTGCATTCTAACCACAGGGAGGGAGGGAGGGAGGGAGGGAGGGAAGGAAGGAAGGAAGGAAGGAAGGAAGGAAGGAAGGAAGGAAGGAAGGAAGGAATGAATTCTCATGTATTTAAAACTGAAGTTTGCTTTCTTTGTTTCTTTGTGGGATGGTTTGGCAGAGAAGAAATGCAATGGTTTCCAGTGCTCCACGGGGACGTGTATCCCTTCTAGCAAGCGATGCAACGGGGTGCAGGACTGCTCCGATGGCTCGGATGAACAACACTGTGGTGAGTGTAACTGGAGTGTAAAAATTATAGCCAGTGTGACGGTGGGGTTGCTGGGTCACCAAAAAGGAAAGAAAGTCACAGAACTGCCCCGGAACTGGAGAACTATTTTTAATTAACATTTGCAATTGGTTACTTTGCTCTGCATGTACAGGTCCTCCTTCAACTTACAACTCATTAATTTAGGGACCGTTTTGAAATTACTATAGCACTGAAAAAAAAAAAAACTCGTATTGCATTGACGACGGTTGTACCATTCCCGTGGTCACATGATCAAAATCCCGGCACTTCATGTCAGGGTTCCAAGTAACAGACCCAACGCAATCAAAACTCTGAGGCCACGGTGCTCCTCAAAGTCCAGTAATAGGTAAAAGTAAAGGTTCCCCTCACACATATGTGCCAGTCGTTTCTGACGGTAGGGGGCGGTGCTCATCTCCGTTTCAAAGCCGAAGAGCCAGTGCTGTCCGAAGACGTCTCCGTGGTCATGTGGCCGGCATGACTAACACTGAAGGCACACGGAATGCTGTTATCTTCCCACCAAAGGTGGTTCCTATTTTTCTAATTGCATTTTTACATGCTTTCTAACTGCTAGGTTGGCAGAAGCTGGGACAAATAACGGGAGCTCACTCAGTTACGCAGCACTAGGGATTCGAACCACCGAACTGCCGACGTTTCTGATTGACAAGCTCAGTCTCTTAGCCACTGAGCCACTGCGCCCCAAATTTATTAGACTTGTCATATTGGTATATCTGGCTCTTTCCCCTAGTCCACATATCCATCACATAGTCTAATCCAGTCACCATCCAAACTCCAGTTGGTTTTAGTCCGCACCTCCCCAACTCCTGGTGAGAACGTCCTTGCATCCCAGGGGAAAGAATTTTGTTTTGGCTACACATCCCCAGCTAGCTCTGTCTCCCTCCTCCCGTGCCCACAGCTCTAGCCAGCCCTACTAGGGCAGCCCTGGAGATGCTCCAAAATGGATTCAGGGTGGACACTTAGCAAATTGGGCAACCGAAATGTTGGTCTCACTTGTGATTGTGGATGGGACGTGGTGGCTCAGTGGCTAAGACGCTGAGCTTGTTGATCAGAAAGGTCGGCGGTTTGGCAGTTCGAACCCCTAGCACTGCGTAATGGAGTGAGCTCCCGTTACTTGTCTCAGCTTCTGCCAACCTAAATTAGAAAGCACGTAAAAATGCAAGTAGAAAAATAGGGATAATCTTTGATGGGAAGGTAACAGCGTTCTGTGCGCCTTCAGCGTTGAGTCATGCCGGCCACAGGACCACAGAGACGTCTTTGGACAGCGCTAGCTCTTCGGCTTTGAAACGGAGATGAGCACCGCCCCCTAGAGTCGGGAATGACTAGCACGTATGTGTGACGGGAACCTTTACCTGTGATTGTGAGTCGAGGGCTAACTGTAAAACTTTCTTTTCCCAAAATGGTAGTCGAAAAAGAAACTAGCCAAAAATAAGGAGAGAAATAAAGAGAGATGGGAAAGAGAAATTTGGGGGAAAGATACTCAAAAAATCTATCGAATCTATCTATCGAAAAGCGAGATACAGAAGAAAAGATATAAGACACATAAGAAGGAGAAAAAGGGAAAAGAAAATTTAGAAATAGGAGAATAAGTAGAATGATACGACTCAACAGAAAGAAGTATTGTAAACAAGGTAAAAATATGTTTTAAATTAGAATGTGTGGGAATTATATTAGGAAACTTAAAGCTGTTAGATAATTATGTTCATTATATAAAACTTGAAATCTGAAATTTGAAGCTTCATATGGTTAAGGGGAAATAGATAGAAAAGGAACGATCAATTGTTTATTTTTAAAGAGAAAGAAAAATATATGTTTGTACATGTTAAAAAAACTAGAAATTGGAAAATAGGAGAAGAAAAGTAATACGGCTAAAATTGGAAACAATGGAAATATAATGTAAAATGAATTATGTTTCTTGGTGGGAATGTTGAAGGGGGAATTCAGACAGCACGGTTCACAAAAGAAGTTTTATTATGTAACCAAAATAAATAAAAAATTAAAAAAGAAAACCTCAAAACTTTCTTTCCCAACTCTTATCCTTCTTTCTTTCCTTCCCTCCAACCTCCAAACCTTGCTCTGATTTGCCACTCTGGAGAATCCCTCTGCACACACTACATGGATTTCATGTGCAAGAACCGGCAACAGTGCCTGCTGCGCTCCATGGTGTGCGACGGCACCTTGCACTGTCGCGACGGCTCGGACGAAGATCCCGCCTACGCCGGGTGTTGTAAGTCAAAGCGGGCTATGAAAATTGGATTTGCGGAATCCGGGCATTTCCCTCCCCTAACAAGAGCTGGCTTCCTTGCAGCCCAGGATCCAGAATTCCATCGCACTTGTGACCAGTTCAGCTTCCAGTGCCAGAACGGTGTGTGTGTCAGCTTGGTGTGGAAATGTGACGGCACCGATGATTGCGGAGACTACTCGGACGAGGCCAACTGTGGTGAGTGGAGAATGTGCCGCGGGAAGGAAAGGAGACACGGTAGGAGAGGGGAACGGGTGATGTCAAATATCCTGACCTCATTGTCCAAGCAAGAGTGGTGCGGTGGCCTAAAGGTTGCGCTCTCACCTCACAGTCAGGAGGCCGTGAGTTCGATCCTAGGTAGAGGCAGATATATATTCTCATTGAGAATATAACTGCTGGAAAAAAAACTCCTCATTGGCAACAGGAGAGGCATCTGGCCACTAAATACTCAGTTCCATTCAGTTGCCTAGACTCCACCTCACAAGGGATTATGGGGTCATTAAAAGAAGATAATGATGATTGTCCAAGTGACCTAATCTATATACTGGTAGTCCTTGACTTATAACAATTCATTTTGTGATGCTGACTGACTCCCACGCCTCCTCATCTGATTTGGCTGCTAGAGGGTCCGGCGGCCGACAGGCCATGACATAAGGTAGTGAAAACTGACGGGCATATTTCGTCCTGGCTAGAAAACCCAACCGAAGCCCCCAGCTGTTCTCGGTATTACCAGTTCCAGTGTGACAACGGGCACTGCATCCCGAACCGATGGAAGTGCGATCAAGAAAATGACTGCGGAGATTGGTCGGATGAGAAGTCGTGCGGTGGTAAGAGCATGTCCTTTTTTCCAGTTACTCAAAGTTGGTCCTCTGAGGTCCTGGAATCGGGAACTATATTTTTGTAGATACAGACTAAAATCACATTTGTCTTTTTGGCCGCCGCGTCACGCAAGTGACTTATATTTTGCTTTGTGTTTTTGCTGGCGTTTGGCATTTGTATGCCGCCCGCTCCCTAGGGACTCTGGGCGGCTTACAGACAACAAGGGAATATATAAAAATTAAAATAGTTAATAGTTTAATAGTTTAATAGTTTATTAACATTTATAGGCCGCCCTTTTCCCTGAGGGGACTCAGGGCGGCTCACATAAAATCAGGGAAGGGGGATACAAACAATGACATAGACACACATAAGTAAAAATAATGAGCAACATTCATTCATCATTCGGGAGGGGCGGCTATCTTTGTCCCCAGGCCTGACGGGCTAGCCAGGTCTTAAGGGCTATGCGGAAGGCCTGGACGGTGGTGAGAGTACGAATCTCCACGGGGAGCTCGTTCCAAAGGGTGACTGGCAGGAGGCAGTCTCTCAGGTACCCAGGTCCGATACCATGTAGGGCTTTAAAAGTAACG